CCTCCTGTGCAGGGAGCAGGGGGAGGGGCGGGACAGGATTGGTGTCACCCAGCAGAGCCGGCCCCGCCAGGCAGGCCAGGTGACCGCTCTCGGACCTCTATCGCCAGAGGAAGTTTCAGGTGGTTGTTCCGCCTTCACGCGCACGTTTACGTCAGGCACCAATTAAGAACATGTCTACATGCACGTTTTCTTTTAAAACAAAAAGGATAAACCCAAACTGAGGAAACTGCGCGCTGAGACTGTGGCAACGGCGTTCCAGTGTTTTCCATCATATTTGGTGTGACAGTGGGAGGCAGTTTTTAAGTGTCCTTACCTTTTAGAAAAACGACTAGAATACTATGGATGAGACGACATGACGTCTGAGATTCCTCTCAGACCAGCTTGCCCGGGGGGGGGGGGACGACACAAAATGCAAGCCATGCGCTGACCATCACCGAGGCCAGACCATGGCACACAGGGACTCAGCATCCTCTTCCCACTTTTATGTTTCAGATGTTCCAACATTTCAGGTTACATACAATGTTTTCGGTTTGCATTTAACATCACTACCTGACAAAATAAAACCCCAGCATCTGGTCAGCGTGATACATTCAGGACACAAGGAACTTCAACGACTTGCCATTCAGATTTGAGGGTGAAGTTTGTCTCCAGATGCGTCTCCCGCCCCGGATCCCACTGACAGGTCATTCTCTTCCCTTCGTTCACGATGCAACTCAAGTTCTTAGGTTTTTCTGGAGGCACTAAAAGGGAAACGGAGAACTTTCAAAAAGCTTCACATAAACAAACAACATGCAATTCATGTCCTGCCCAAGAAGTTTACACCCTCAACTACGTAGGAGAAGGTGCCCACGCAAAAGTATGGACATAGCGAGACTGGTGCCCGAAAAATTAATTCCTTCTCTACTTAAACTCAGACTTCTTTCTAGGTAGTAACACACCTTTTCTATCATAGCCATCAGTGACTAGTATGTTCATATTCAGTTTTTACACCTAACCAACGATCATTTATGACTAAATAACGCACTCTCCACTCAGTGCCGTGTAAAGAGGAGCATTTGCATATTAGTAAGAGGAAACTAAGTGGAAACCGTGATTCATCTCTGTTCTCTTCCTGTTGCCGTTCTGATCTCTGCTGGGAGCAGAGCACACGGCACACAGCTCAGGGTGACAGCTCTGGTCTTGGCTCGGCCCTGCCCGCTTCTCTGCTCGGACACAGAAAGACTTTCTCCCGCATTCACTCCCCTTCTCGGGGCTGCTCAGCGCGCGTTTTCTTAGAGATTAAGGCACCAAGTGACTGCGAGTGACTCTGATCAATTCACAGATTTCAGTTCAACAATTCTTTTTGGGGGGAGGGGCGTCTCATGTCAAAAGACGTTTCTATAAAACGGACAGATCCTTGGCTTTCAGGGAAAAGGTACAACTGTTTCTTAGGTTTGTCTGCATATTAGAGATGAAATTGTAGTTCCACTTCTAAGCTTATTTTTAAAAACAAATGTGTCCAAAACCCACTGGCCCAGCGAGTCCCTGCATCTCCTGGAGATGAACACACCACACTGAAAACGCAATTCAGTCACAGCCGAGCCTGGAAGGGACGCGGGGAACTTACGGCCGGAAACAATGCTGATCCCATACACGTTCTGAGCGATCTGCCCGAAAGAGCGGATGTTGCAGGTGAGCTGGGTGTTTAACAGGGAGAAGTCTGGGAAGGTGACACTCGACGCCGTGCTGTTGATAACAGTGTACTGCTCGCGGGGAACCGTCACGTGGTTTGTTTTCCAGAAGATGTAGCCCGCGTTGACGTGTAAATAATCCACACATTTTTCCTTGAGCACACAGACCGCAGTGAAGTTAGAACCAAGCTGCACAACCGGCGACTCAGGGTCGATATAGCCGCAGACGTCCAGGAGCTCCCCTGAAAGGAACGAGGACCGTGTGGGTGTGGACTGCGTTTCACTGGCCGTGGCCTGGCCTGTGGCACGTGCCGCCCGCAGGCCCCAGCGCTGGTGGCGTCGGTCCCTCGAACCCTCCAGCTGGTGAAACTGCGCCTGTGGGGACTGAGCCGCCCTGTGACCTGGGCCAGTCCTACCCCCCAACCCACACTTCACTCCCAAGGAAACCCCTCCGAACGCTTCCTTGAACTTAAGGGAACAGCAAACACAAGGCTAATTTAGAGAATAAAGAACAAGAGATGCAACCAAAGAGTCGACGATTTTTCTCCACACAGAACAGGAGGAAAACGAGAAATGGGCAAGTGTTCAAGCTTTCAGAGAGAAACACAGGCTCATTAGAACGAGCCCGTTCCACCTCAGCCCCATTCACAGGGGCCGCCAGTTCCTGCAGATGGAACTGTACAAGCGGATCTCCTTTAAAAGGGCATTTGACCGCGAGCTGGGTGCCCGAGGGGAGACGGGGATGTGGGGTAGAGCCGCAGCAGCAAGCAGTAGAGGGAACACGAGGGAGCACTGGCCTTCGGCTGCTGCAGGTTCGAACGGGTGAAGGCTGAGCTGGCTGCTGACTCGGGGTCGGAGGGGCGAGCAGTCTTTCCAGTGCAGCTGCCCTCCTCCCACCTCAGGTCTGCGGTGCCTACGCCTGCCCTGCCGCCCCGTGTGGCATGTGACCTCAAGGCCGGGCCATGAAAACACACAACTTCCAACCAAGCACTCCTCTCCTCCTGGCCTCTGCCCTGGAGCCCAGCCGGAGGCGAGGGTGCCAAGGCCCAAGGAGAGACATCTGGGTGCTCTGGCGACAGCCCCGCCAAGGCCTCACCCGCAGCATCAGGCAGAGCCTTTTCACGGGGAGGCCCAGGAATCGTGTGAAGGCGAACCCGCCTGGCTGGGCCTGGCTGTCCTCCTGACCCACAAAAACCACCAGAAAGAACCGTTTCTGTCCTTTTAGGCCATGACGTCTTGGAGTAATTTGAGAGGCAGCAACATTTTATTTTATTTTACTATTTTTACTAGAGGCCTGGTGCACAAAAATGTGTGCACTCGAGGGGGAGGGGGGGGGCCCCTCAGCCCGGCCTGTGCCCTCTCGCAGCCTGGGACCCCTCGGGGGTAACCACTTGCTGGCTTAGGCCTGCTCCCCAGGGAATTGGGCATAAGATGGCAATCAGACATTCCTCTGGCAGCCTGGCAGACCTCAGG